CGCCACCCCCCACCCCCCCCAGCGTCCCTGTAACTGTTGCATTGGACTCAGTCCTGTCTCCTTAAAGGAATGTGATAGAAGTGTCAGGTCACCTCTTCTCCGTTGAAAGAGGGAGATGGATGACTTTGTTAATGGGGGGCCCCGGGGTAACATGGTGGAGTTTTCTCATTTTAAACAGTGTTTGAAAAATAAAGAGTGATATTTGGGAAGATACAGGGAGCTTTACAGGTAGGTTCCAAGGAAACATTGTAAGAGGCGCAAAGGCTTTGATGAAGGCGTTGAAACTTTCCTGTACAAGGTGACTTCAAGCGGCAGATTTAAGCGCTCCCCAGAGAGCGTACAGCGCCCTGGATCACACCTATAGTTTCCCTTGAACTCTCATTGGAGAGAGGTGCCCTACTGAAAAGTAACTGAATTCTTAACACCACACTCCCCCCCCCAAAAAACACCCATGTTGAGTACGCTGTTGGTGGTCACGAGCAGAACGCATCTCTATTTGAAGGGAACTTCGGGGTGTAGGTGGCTGGAGACATGCAGGCTGCAGGAAGGGTTTAGGGTTTGTGATGTGTGAGGTGGCCCTGGCGAGTGAAGGGTGGTGAGGCAGGGGGCGCAGAGCCGGGGGTTTGGGGGGCCTGAACGGAGGCTGCTGCCGGTGGCTGCCTGTGAGAGTGCGGGGACCCACTGGGTTCCCAGGCCGCCCTCTGTGACTGAAGATCATTGATTTTACGGGAAACCGTGTTTACAGACAGAGTGCCGATCGACCTGCCGAGTTGACTTCTGCCTCCTTAAGTAAGAACTACCTTTTTCTTATTGACTGGCTGATAAACAGAGCAAGAGGGACGGCCGGCGGGGTGGGAGAGCGGTGGACGGCCTGAGGGCCTTGAGCTGAAGGACTGGGCAGCGTAAGGGATTTCTTCATCTCCGTGCTCTGGTCCCTTCTTGTCCACCCCGTCCGCTCACGCCCCAGGGACCGGTGGGGAAGTCCAAGACCGACACTGCCTGGGCACCTCGTGAGCAGCGCAGGTGCGGGGCACGGACGCGTCGGCAGTCTGGCCGGCGTGATGTAGCAGCAGCGAGTGCCTCAGACCTGACTGATGTGCCTCCTCCAAGGACCGTGTGAAAACGCAGATTCTGACCTGAGGAATGCAGAGCCCGCGTTCCTCACAGGCTCCCTGGTGAAGACAATACTACCGCTCCCTGACCCACTCTTTGCTCAGCGAGGCCGTGAAAGGTCCTGCTCGTCACGGCCAGCGTGCATTGAAAGGAAGCCCGGAGCAGGCGGGCGGCTTAGCTCCTGAGTGGGGTCCTGTTTTCCACGGGTGCTTCACCGGGCTTCCAGTCCCTGTGAGTGAATAGTCTCCCACGTGTCCCTCTCCTGGGGCTGGTGTCACCGCCCGTGAGGTCATCTGTCTTTCAGGGGTGGCCACAACGTCATTCTTTCTTGACACCATTTGCTTGGGAAATAGAAAACAAAGTTAGGTGAGTTTTCAAAAGTCCCAACCCCTTGAGTGGGTGATTTGTAGAGGAGGAGACGGAGGTGGAGAACAGCAGGAAAAGCCCACCAATTAATTGGTAAACGCTTGCAGGTTTCTCTGGCCCAGCCCCGGCTGGAAAGGAGATTGGCTTCGCTGTCGATACGCAAGTCCCTGGTGAAGCATCAAAGCTGTTCTCCTTTATCAATCGTGGCCTCCCCTTCCCGCATGTTCCTGTAACTTACCAGGCATTTATGACATCGATTTTACAATCGGGCTGTTAACCCTCCCGCCCCTTCAGGCCTGCCAACCTTTTTGGCCTGAGCTGTCAATCAGGCGCATCCTTAAGAAGAGCCACCCTGGATTCTCACCTGCACGCAATCTCAGCCTCGCGAGGAAGTCCCATCGCATTTGCTGTTTGGCTTGGTTTAGTGGAGTCATCTTTGTTTAAAAATCAATGTGTCTTTTCTCAGGCACACAGAACTTGGTTGTAATGGAGTTTGAGGTTATAAACTGAGAGGTGGAATGTGTGTGTGTGTGTTTTAAACAAAACATAATACATTCTTCCAAAAAGTTATTTCTCCTAAGACTTCTGGTAAACCTGCCTTCCCCATCTTTTCCCGAGGGGGAGCTGTTGGCTCACTGTGCAGTCAACAATCGAGAAATGAAAAGAGAATGGGAAGATGGGGTTTTTTTTT